TGTGCAGGAGAGCTCTGACAATCCCTCTAAACTAGTATCAACACTAGATATCATATTTTCCAGGCTATTAGATGCTCTCTTAAGCCTCCAACCCCATCAACAAACGACTGTGTGTCCCGGCACGACTTCAGCAAACTACAAAGCACTGACCCATCTAACTCTTGTGTTTCGTTTAAAGTCCGGTGCGGTTTATTTGAGAAAAAAGTTTAAAAATAGACCATTCAATGACAACGCGCTTTATAATCCAGAGCACCTAATAGCCCGGAAAATATGGTACTCATTTGAGCAGAAATTGATACTAAAAGGTCCATTGACAGAACACAAATGAACCTTTCCTGAATGTGTTTAGAATGATGTTGAGCTGTATCAGAACAAGTAGAAGAGCACATAGACTAGTACACACCCATGGACCAACATGAACCTACTGCACCACTGAGGATTACACACATATAGGCAAGTTTCATTGTTGACAAAAGTGTGCGTTGCATGCTGGGAATTATTTGGTCGGCGGCAAGAAACACTAATTTGACATGATGGACGGAGCGAGAAAGCACGTAAAGAGTATTGATCCTGGTTATTTCTCCACTCTAACGGCAGAGGACCCAAGACCATTTGAGCAGAAATTGGTCATAAGCATCGATGGAGCCAAATCACCCTTTTCAACCCCGACAAAAGGTGGACCAAACCATCTGGTCAGAACCTCCAACTACCTGGACAAATATTCACTTTGGCGATATCCACAATGACTTGGTGGAAACTCCTGGGTCATTCACAGCAGAAAAGATGAAAACCTCCAAGAGTCTCGATGTGTTGTTGAACTTGTTGGAGTCCACGGTTTGTTAGGATCTTCTACGTTTGCTCTGCGGATGTTTGAAAGCCGTTTAATTCACCGTTAGCGGTTCTTTTCACTCAGAATACGAAAAAGACATTTTCCTTCTTCCGTGCTTCTCTTTGTGCATCCGATAATGCAGCAGGAATTTACCATTATCGGGGAGAAATACGCGAGGTTACGCACTGTGTTTGACGCTACCGTGTTTCTTGCCTCCGACCAAAATATTTCCCAGCATGCAACACGGGCTTTTAATAACAATGACGTCAGCTGAAACTGGACTATAACACACATGGGAATAGAAAAGAAAGTTCTACCATTTAATGTGGAAAATCTCATTCTGTTGTCTAAATAAAGACTGTTTTTATTAAAATTGTGGTATCAGAATCGGTATTGAGTATCAAGTCTATTCCTTAGTATCAAAACAGAGTCTGAAATTTGAGTGTCGTGAGAACTTTCACTGGAATGTTTAGGAGTCATTTGGGACAGTTGAGAAGTAGGCTACAGCTGAGTGGTACTTTCACCCCTCAGGTCAGAGAGAGGACCCCGTGTACACTAGAGAGCGCCGCCCTGGTGTCCACGGCGTGTCACTGCGTCTCGGGGCGGCGTAATCTCTGCTCACAGTCTGGACGTGAGCAGGATGTGAAACACCACTGCCACAGAAAACAGCCCATTTGGCCCTGCTCCTCTGCTTCCTGTAATCTGCACAGACTGACAGACACAACTGTGAGTCACCATGGCGACGCACGCACTCACATACAGAGAGAATGTGTGCGCTGACAACGCATGCACACGCACACAGGCACACACGCATACACACACACAGCCTCAAACCTGCATCTGCTAAACAACTTCCATTTTCAAGAGTCAATCCACAGAACCGTGAGAGTAAGATAAGTCGGTTTGCATAGACATGGTTGGCATAGGGCGGTTGCTGGTTCAATGCTCCTGGCTCACTGCTGTTTGTAATATTTGTGGATTGGCACTAGGGAAGCTGATACGTGATATGAACTGATAGCAGAGTGGTGTGGATGGAGAATGATTAACGCACTTATTTCCTCAAAAACAAGAGATGCAGTAGTGTTACATAACTGTTATTTATCCGTCACATCACGACTGAACAGCTTTGTTTTGCTCTGCACCCTGTGTGTGTGTGTGTATGTGTGAGACAGGTGTGTGTGTGTGTGAGAGAGAGGTGTGTGTGTGTGTGTGAGACAGGTGTATGTGTGTGTGTGTGTATGAGACAGCTGTATGTGTGTGTGTGTGTGTGTGTGTGTGTGTGTGTGTGAGACAGCTGTATGTGTGTGTGAGACAGCTGTATGTGTGTGTGTGTGTGTGTGAGACAGGTGTGTGTGTGTGTGTGTGTGTGTGTGTGTGTGTGAGACAGGTGTGTGTGTGTGTGTGTGTGTGTGGTGTGTGTGTGTGTGTGTGTGTGTGTGTGTGTGTGTGTGTGTGAGACAGGTGTGTATGTGTGTGTGTGTGTGTGTGTGAGACAGGTGTGTGTGTGTGTGTGTGTGAGACAGGTGTGTATGTGTGTGTGTGTGTGTGAGACAGTGTGTGTGTGTGTATGTGTGTGTGTGTGTGTGAGACAGGTGTGTGTGTGTGTGTGTGTGTGTGTGTGTGAGACAGGTGTGTGTGTGTATGTGTGTGTGTGTGTGTGACAGGTGTGTGTGTGTGTGTGTGTGTGTGAGACAGCTGTGTGTGTGTGTGTGTGTGTGTGTGTGTGTGTGTGAGACAGGTGTGTGTGTGTGTGTGTGTGTGTGAGACAGCTGTACGTATATGTGTGTGTGTGTGTGTGTGAGACAGGTGTGTGTGTGTGTGTGTATGTGTGTGTGTGTGTGTGATGTGTGTGCATGTGTGTGTGTGCGTGTGTGTGTGACTGCTGTACTTCTGCTGGACTTCTGGAGTTTACTCACATAAATGTAAGAAAACAAAATACTGAAAGTTTTCATCATGTCCTGTGTGTTTGTTTTCATATAAAAATAAGGTCTTTTATGTGTAAAAATGGAAAAAAACAAACCTTGACCATTTGGGACATTCAAAACAGAAACATGAAATGAAAATAGAGGTTTAAATCTTGCTTCTTTTTGTTGACATATTAGAAACTAAAAATACACAGAGGACATTTTGGATCTCATTAAATAGATTTTTCTGATACATACTTATCTAAAAATGTCTGATCTTGGAATTAGATATTAAAAATCCTGTATATAAGACTTTTCAGTTTCCCAATAAGAGAAAGACATTTGGAGCAAACAGACTTTGAACGTCCAGTGTCCCACAGACTGTCTGGAGGCAGGTTGATTAAATGAAATATTAAACCTCTTTCAGTGCAGAGTGGACAGTTTAGTTGATTCCACGTGAAGGCTTGTTGCCAAGAGACCAAACTGACCAAAAAAAAAAAAAAAGCATTTGAATGTAGTGCCCCCCTCCCCTCACCATCACCCCCCTTTCCTCTTCCTCTCTCCCTCTCTCCTCTCTCCTCTGTCCTCATTTCCTCTGTCCTCATCTCCTCTGTCCTCCTCTCCTCTGTCCTCATCTCCTCTGTCCTCATCTCCTCTCTCACGTCTGCCTTTTCTTTTTCCTTCTATCATTTGTTTTCCTCTGCTCCGTGTGTGTGTGTGTGAGACAGGTGTGTGTGAAACAGGTGTATGTGTGTGCTAGACAGGTGTGTGTGTGTGTGAGAGAGACAGGTGTGTTTGTGTGTAAGACAGCTGTGTGTGTATGAGACAGCTGTGTGTATGTGTGTGTAAGACAGCTGTGTGTATGTGTGTGTATGACACAGCTGTGTGTATGTGTGTGTGAGACAGGTGTGTGTATGTGTGTGTGAGACAGCTGTGTGTATGTGTGTGTGAGACAGGTGTGTGTTTGCGTGTGTGTGTTTGTGTATGTGAGACAGGTGTTTGTTTGTGCGTGTGTGTGAAACAGGCGTGTGTTTGTGTGTGTGTGTGAGACAGGTGTGTGTGAAACAGGTGTGTATGTGTGTGCTAGACAGGTGTGTGTGTGTGTCTTTGTGTGTGTGTGAGACAGGTACAGGTGTGTGTGTGGAAGGTGTTTGGAGCTGATAGATGCTGACTGCTCCTCTCCCCTGTCAAGCCCTCACCTGTCAAGCCCTCACCTGTCAAGCCCTCACCTGTCAAGCCCTCACCTGTCAAGCCCTCACCTGTCAAGCCCTCACCTGGCAGGCCCTTCGGTCAGAGAGCTCCAGTTATCCCCCATCCAAAATCTCTGCTCCTCCAGCCAAGACCAGGACCGGGACCGGGAGCGGGAGCGGGAGTGTCCTGGGTCAGCAGCATGTGCAGTGGAGAGGGGGGGCAGGGGCCGGGGAACAGTGGTCAGCATAGATGTCCAGTGGTCAGCAGGTGGGGGCAGGTGGTGGTGCAGTTGTCAGCAAGGGGGGTGCAGTGGTCAGCGGGGGGGTGCAGCGGTCAGCAGAGGGGGTGCCGGTCATTAGAGTCTGGAGACTGTCCAGCTCTTCTCAGCTCACTCGTCCAGTGATTTGTCGAAGAGGAGGCTGTGCTGGCAGTTTGGAGTCCAGACTGTGATAGACTGTTGTGTCTTGATCCTCGTTCTCTGGCCAGAACTGAGTTCCTCAGAGGGGCGACAGGTTTTGCTCGCTTGGTGGCTTGAGTCCCGCTCTTGACATACAATGACACTGGTCGAGCGATCAGATCCACTGACCCACAGGTTGGTGGTGCGATTCTGGCTCTGACAGATGAACGCTGTCATTGTGTTCTTGGACATTTAACCCCCTCGCCCCTGGTGTGTGTATCCACCGTCTGTGTGTGTGAGTGTGTGTGTGTGAGTGTGATTCCTTGATGTAAAACACTTGGTGGAAAAGTGCTGTATGAAAATGTGACATGTGTCGTGTGGCAGCTGTAGCAGGTCAGTTATGTGTTTGTGTCTACAGTCTGGCAGCTCCAGGCCGACTCTCACCAGCCAAATGTAAAGGAGATTAAAAAGGCAGTACGAATAACTTGAATATGAACCCGTGTTGATGAGTCATCTAAATGTGAGTGCGTTTGTCAGTGTGTTGCTCTTAAAGCTGTGCTTTTGTCTGGCCAGTGAATGTCTGAAGTTGGCTTTGAAATGGTGTTAGTCATGGCATAGCAACAGACACATCACCTGGTGCCTTGGTAACGCTGCTATTTTTGCTTTTGCCTCTCTGCAGACATCTCCCAAAATGGACGCCGATAGCCAGAGCCGGGCGCAGGCGGGGGACTCGAGTGGAGCATCTGACCCTGTGAAAGAACCAGACCCGAGACCAGAGCAGAGTACAGAACCGAGTCTAGAACAGACCTTGGTCCCCTCCAGACCCAAGAGACCCCAGAGGAGCGCCCGGGTGGAGGGATCCGTGGACATATCGGAGCCCAAAGAGCCTCCTCCGGCAGAAGAGAGCGTCCCCGACGGTTCTCCGAGCTGCCCCAAACCCCCCCGCCCTGCACCTGCCAGCCCGTCACCCGCCAGGTCCTCAGGGGAGCACCCTCCACTGTCGGGCATCAGGCCGGGTCCCAAAGGTCCCGGGCACCACCACCAGCCGGTGCGGGCCGCCTCCGTGCCCGACCCCCCCATGGGCAGGCACATCCCACCTCACCTGAACCCCCACGCGCACAGGGCTCTGTCTGTGGCCGGCACCGCAGACACTCAGGCGCTCGCCGTGGAAGACTTCAGGCAGGTTTCACTCCTGTTCCAACTCCACCTAATAATGTCAATAATATGTCACACACACACACACACACACATATATCACACACACACACACACACACACACAGTGTGTGTTTCTTGCCGCCGACCAAAATAATTCCCAGCATGCAACGCGCACTTTTGTCAACAATGAAACACGCCTATATCACACAGCACATTTATAATGTTCCTCAAAAACAGACCTGGAGTTTTGTTTTGGTTCATTCATACATGTTTGAGTAACTCTTTTATTTTTAATCTTTATTATTATTCTGTATAAAACTTTAAAGGCTTTGTTCCACCTCGTGATGTAATGATGTGGTAGTTTTCATGTTAACAGCTCCTTTTACCTTTAGTTCAGTAGAGATCGGCAATTCCAGAGTTGAAATTATCCTAATGATTCTAGTGAAGGTGTGTGGAGTTTAAAAACACAGTGGAGCACTTCCTGTATTAACACATGACATCATAAGATGACATAGAATGTTTTCTGTTTGAGAGGAGAATCCCTAAATGTGCAGGGTTTGTGTGTTAAACATGTGTCAATGAAACAAAACACAACTCCAGGTCGAGGAGTTCAGGTTGTGACGAGGAAACATTAGAACAGAGATCAGAAAATAATGTCATATGGGAATTTAATAAAAGAATCAGCTCAGTGTAGGAAAACTGAGGTGCCCAATGGGAGCTGACGTCGCTGTAAACGTCATCACAACAAAGCGCCGCGTGCACTAAAATGACTGTGAGACTCTGCTACACTTATCAGATTAAGATAATAAAATTGAGGAGCGAAGTGCGTACAGAGCGGTGGGTGTGGCTGGTGGAGGTGAAAATGAGGATCAGTGTATGGCGTCTTGAAAATAGGTGATTTAAAGATAATTCAAACATTCACAAATTACTCTAAATACAACTGCAGAGGAGTGGAAACTGCTGTAACATGGCTAAAAGCTCTGAAGAGTCCATTTTGCAGAATAGATCTGATTTAAGGGTGAACTATGGTGGACTAAGCTTTTTATGGTAATTGCTTTGCCCAGAATGTTTCACAGTATGGCATTAAACTTTAAATCATAGGTGTCAAACATACGGCCCGGGGGCCAGATGCGGCCCTCCAAGACCTTTAATGTGGCCCCCAGCTGATTTTCAAGTAAAATATTTGTATTATATTTTCTATTAAAATATTGTTAATTTTCTGTGGTGTTTATCACAGCAGCGTCTCCAGCTCCTCTGTACGTGGCCCCTCCCACCAGAGCAGCACAAATGAAGACTTGTCTCTTTCCAAACGCTTTTAAAGGACGATCGTTTTGACTGTTGACCGTGACACCCTCATCAGAAAAATGTCACAAATGAGAAAGTGGAGCCGAGTGCAGGATTTTACAACAAACTCATTCCTATGGAGTAAGAAAGCTGTCAAAAATATTTGTGTGCATAAAATAGAAATCCGTGCGTATTTGGGAAATCCGTGCATATTTGGCTGTAGTTGCGCATAAAATAAATATTTGTAAACTCTCAAATGAGTCCAGTCGTACATAAAATATATTGTGTGTATTTTATCCATCAGAATACGAATTGAAAAATTACGACGTCATGAATTACAATCACGAAATGAAAATTTACGATTACGCTTTCATCAGTACGAATACGAATTCACAGACGGAACTTTACTGTCAAAAATACCTCATCACTTCACAGACATTATCCATCGAGCAGAAGAAACATCGATCAAGATCAAGACTGACGTTACGTCGGATGTTAGCCAACTGGCTCCACTATGTTATCTAACATATAGGTGCAATTTCCCGTTCAAAGGAGGTGTTTCTACACAATATTATACAGCAGCGTTCGGTTCCCGAATTCAAGACATTTTTACAATAGATTTGAATTAACCCACTTGTTGGTCGCTGTTGTAGCTCCTTGTGCTATTACTCTGTTTTTACTCTGCTACAAACTTGAGCTGCGCAGTCTTGATCTTGATCGATGTTTCTTCTGCTCGATGAATAATGTCTGTGAAGTGATGAGGTATTTTTTTTGACAGTAAAGTTCCGTCTGTGAATTCGTATTCGTACTGATGAAAGCGTAATCGTAAATTTTCATTTCGTGATTGTAATTCATGACGTCGTAATTTTTCAATTTGTATTCTGATGGATAAAATACACACAATATATTTTATGTACGACTGGACTCATTTGAGAGTTTACAAATATTTATTTTATGCGCAACTACAGCCAAATATGCACGGATTTCCCAAATACGCACGGATTTCTATCTTATGCGCACAAATATTTTTGACAGCTTTCTTACTCCATACATTCCTATTTGCAAACAAGTTCATGTTAAAACTTTGTGTTGAAATTGTATTTTTCTTAAAGTTTCAGGTTGTTCATAATATTATAATATTTTGTAAAAGAAAGAGTTCATCAATTAAAAAAGATTTCTGTAATAGATTTTTGTTTCTCTGCACAAATATTTGAACTTATTGTTATTTTTGGGGTTTATATGACATGAGTTTTCTGATCCGGCCCCTTTGGGATCAAAGTAGGTTGGATACGGCCCCCGGACCAAAATGCGTTTGACACCCCTGATTTAAATGCAGACAAGCAACCAAGATCAAATGTGGTTAAAACAGTAGCTGCTAAGTAAAAATATTAATGTTATGGAGGATTGTGTTATGGGCTGGTGGAATGTTAGTTATGCCCTTACATTACACGACATGTACTGGAGCCTTCAGCTGGAGAAAGTAGGCCACGGCACAGAGCGCCGGCTGCTGGATCACCTTTCAACTGGAGGTCATGTGACAGTATTGTGCAGTATCAGTAGTTTGACCCGGAGAGGGTCTGTCTGAAGTGCACTACACAGGGATCAAAAGAACTCCAGTGTCAGTGTTATGTATGAGTGATAAACAAGTCCTCCTCAAGGCCTGAATGTTGTGCAGGATTCATTTGTGTTTCATTTAGATTATTTTAAAGGTCAATAGCCTCGTGTGTACTTACTTACTCTAATTAATATACGTGTTTTTATGAAAGTCAAACAATTATCAGCTTTATTAAAGGCACTAACACTGAAGTACTGCTGTTATGCTGTTTGCATGCTAGTTGTTGTTTGCAGTTGTAGATTCTTTGTTGTGATGACGTTTGCTCCCAGTGTGCACTGCAGTTTTCTCACATGGGCGTTAGTGGACGTTGTTTCTGTTATGAAGTCATTTTAGATCAATATTAGGATTTCAAATGTGCACGTTATAATGATGCACAGATGTCTGATCTATACAGTGTAGAGCACACAGTGTGAAGCACCACAGGTCTGCTTGAAATACATTTAGAGAGTAAACAGAAGTCAATAATGATGGTGTTAGGAGTGAACAGGAAACTGGGGAATACTTGAATATGCTTTTCACTTTTGTATGTACTATTTTTAAGCTTAAAGGTTCAGTGCTTTAAACTCCTCTGCATATAAACCCTGAAACACATGAGGTGATTGTAAAACGTGATGTGCTTTTCATTTGCAGGATCCATATCATCACGTGGAATGTTGGCTCCGCCCAGCCCCCGGATGACATCACCGCCTTGTTGGGTCTGAACGTTGGGGACGGGAACACGGACATGTACATCATTGGGTGAGATCTGGACCACGCCTCCACACTGAGGACATATGGGATTCTTCAAGTCTAAATATGATGTGTGTGTGTGTTTATGTGTGTGCGTGCGTGTGCGTGCGTGTGTGTGTGTGTGTGTGTGTGTGTGTGTGTGCGTGCACAGCCTGCAGGAGGTGAACTCCATGATAAACAAGCGTCTGAAGGACGTGCTGTTCACTGACCAGTGGAGTGAGGTGTGCATGGAGCGACTCAGCCCCTTCGGCTACGTGCTGGTCAGTGCACCTGTCTGTCATCATATACACTGCACCTGTCTGTCATCATATACACTGCACCTGTCTGTCATCATATACACTGCACCTGTCTGTCATCATATACACTGCACCTGTCTGTCATCATATACACTGCACCTGTCTGTCATCATATACACTGCACCTGTCTGTCATCATATACACTGCACCTGTCTGTCATCATATACACTGCACCTGTCTGTCATCATATACACTGCACCTGTCTGTCATCATATACACTGCACCTGTCTGTCATCATATACAGTGCACTGCACCTGTCTCATACACAGTGCACCTGTCTGCTCTCATATACAATGCACCTGTCTCTCATATACAGTGCACCTGTCTGTTCTCATATACAGTGCACCTGTCTGCTCTCATATACAGTGCACCTGTCTGCTCTCATATACAGTGCACCTGTCTGTCTCATCATATATACAGTGCACCTGTCTGCTCTCATATATACAGTGCACCTGTCTCTCATCATATACAGTGCACTGTCTCTCATCATATACAGTGCACCTGTCTGCTCTCATATACAGTGCACCTGTCTGCTCTCATACACAGTGCACCTGTCTGCTCTCATATACAGTGCACCTGTCTCATACACAGTGCACCTGTCTGCTCTCATATACAACGCACCTGTCTCTCATATACAGTGCACCTGTCTGTTCTCATATACAGTGCACCTGTCTGTTCTCATATACAGTGCACCTGTCTGTTCTCATACACAGTGCACCTGTCTGTCTCATATATACATGCACCTGTCTGTTCTCATATACAGTGCACCTGTCTGCTCTCATATACAGTGCACCTGTCTCTCATATACAGTGCACCTGTCTGCTCATATACAGTGCACCTGTCTGCTCTCATACACAGTGCACCTGTCTGCTCTCATATACAGTGCACCTGTCTCTCATACACAGTGCACCTGTCTGCTCTCATATACAGTGCACCTGTCTGTTCTCATATACAGTGCACCTGTCTGCTCTCATATACAATGCACCTGTCTGCTCTCATATACAGTGCACCTGTCTGCTCTCATATACAGTGCACCTGTCTGTTCTCATACACAGTGCACCTGTCTGTTCTCATATACAGTGCACCTGTCTGCTCTCATATACAGTGCACCTGTCTCTCATATACAGTGCACCTGTCTGTTCTCATATACAGTGCACCTGTCTGTTCTCATATACAGTGCACCTGTCTGTTCTCATACACAGTGCACCTGTCTCTCATATACAATGCACCTGTCTGTTCTCATACACAGTGCACCTGTCTGTTCTCATATACAGTGCACCTGTCTGTTCTCATATACAGTGCACCTGTCTGTTCTCATATACAGTGCACCTGTCTGTTCTCATATACAGTGCACCTGTCTGCTCTCATATACAGTGCACCTGTCTCTCATATACAATGCACCTGTCTGTTCTCATATACAGTGCACCTGTCTGTTCTCATACACAGTGCACCTGTCTGTTCTCATACACAGTGCACCTGTCTGTTCTCATATACAGTGCACCTGTCTGTTCTCATACACAGTGCACCTGTCTGTTCTCATACATAGTGCACCTGTCTGTATTCTGAGGCTCTCATGTACATGACACATTCTCATACAAAACTGTACACAGCAACTTGACAAACGTGATGTGATGTGCAGTAGTTTCATTAGTGGGAGCCACACTGATTGTGCTGTGATAGTGCTTTGAAGGGGGAGTGACTTAGTGCAGGGAGTAAAGGAGAGGGACACTCGGAGCATAAAAAAGAAAGTGAAATATGTGAATATGTTGTTTTTGGCAAATATAGCATTTTCAGAACAATGAAATGTAACATGGCGCGTTAGAACAGCAGAGATAAGAAGTCCTACATTAAAAGCATGTTGTCTAAAATGAGTGTATTTGACTGTTGTGAGACTGTGGTGTGAACATGAGCTCTTGTGTGTGATCTGCGGTGGTGTGACAGGGGCTGACATGTGAAATGTTCCGGTGTACTGGTGTGTTTGGTAGGCACTCTGTGCTCTGCAGGACTGCATCAGCTCTGGGGCTGGAGGATGGATCCACTGACTGTGTGATGGAGCCAGACAAGCAGCCCTCAGGGTGCTGTTGTATTTTAGTCCCCTGTCGCTGTCAGGGCTAATGGGCCCCTGACAGTGAGCCTGGCTGTGGCCCCTGACAGTGAGCCTGGCTGTGGCCCCTGGCTGTGTTATGGTCTGTAAAGGCTCCTGACGTCATCTCCATATAACCTTTACCCACGGCGCTCGCGGGGGGCGGATGTGCATGAGACCAGGACTACACTACACACTGGCATATCATTAACACAAACATGTATCATTTTAAAGGTTGTATAGAGGATTTTTTAAGGGAAAGAAATACAGCGACAGTCCTTTTTCAAATGTTGTGCATGTGTGACACCACCTTCCTCCTCCACAGCCCCTCAGTAGAAACATCTCGTCCCGCCTCTTTACTCTAAAATCACGTTTGTTTACATCCAGTGCGCGTTCAGAATTACTGTTGAAGTGACCCGTCTAGAAATAATTTTGCGACCGATGCATCAGTTTTTAGACCCTTCGTCTGCTTCAGTCGCGCCATCGCTGGAAGAAATCTCCAAGAATCACCTCAGTTTGTCTTCGCTCATTTTCCTCTTCTCTTCTTCTTTCAGCGACTTCAAAAATCGACTTTCTTTTGAGGTGAACTGGTCGTGGATTCTTGTCCACCATCTCAACAAACTTTGTGCGAAATGCAAAGAAGCTACAGTTTGTAAAAGCCTCTAAGAACCGCTGCATAAACCACATAATCCCCGAGCGCCAACGAGTCAGTTACACTTGAAACGTAGGGAGTTTGATTGACAACCTAACAGCCAATAGAAAATGATGTAGCCTCATTATCTATTGGCTGATGTTTATCTGGCCTCACTATGTCCACAGTTGATAGATTTTCATTCTTTTTATTTTTTGGTCATCATAATTACAAGGCTGCTGCGTCTCTGTAATGGTATTTTAAACTTTCACTGACAATTTGAAAAAATAAAATTAAAAAAATCCTCCATACAACCTTTAACTTTAACACACACTGTGCTTGTGTGGGTGCTCTGTACTTAGAATCTATAACACATGTGCATCAAGTTATAATTTGCACATTTTAAGTCATAATATTTATCTAAAACAACTTAATAAAGAAACAAGTGTGCCGACTTCTGTGTAAGAAAGTCTCTTAATCTCTTAATGATTTTTGTTTTTTATTTGTGACAAAAAGTCAATGCAATGCTCCTGAATCCAACGTGTATCACCGATTAAGGAAATAAAAGTGGAGAAGGCAGTGTGTACGTCACAGCGTGTGTACCAGTGGAGGTGGAATCGGGGCAGATCAATGAGTAGTGACGTCATAAGGATTACTCATTCTGTAGATTTACTCTAAATACAGCTTCAGTGGGACAATGAAAAGGAAACAGCTATAACAGGGCTAAAAGCTCTGCAAAGTCCATTTTGCAGAATAGGTTTGATTTAATGCCGTACTGTGGAAAATACAGGCAAACCTATAATTTCTTCTCTCATAGGCTTCACCAGAAAAGTGACACTGTGCTGGCTGTGACTGCAGGGGAAACTGTTATTTTGGTATTTTTTTCAGTAGCTGACACCAAGAAATACATCCTTTTGTTTTTGCTCTTAAAGATCAATATTATTACTTAGGGGGTGTGCAAAAATATCAGAATATCGATATATCGTATCATTTAATGTGATGATACAGTATCGATATCGTGGGCTATTGTATCGATATATCACCAAGAGTATTTTTACATGTGTTTTACTAAATTATTTTGTTACAGCTACAGTTTTGTTGCTTGTGGAGTGAAAGGAAACTCATTTATGTGACACATTTGACATTTTCACTGTTTTAAGGATTAAAATGTTTGTGTTTCATATGAACTTTGCACAAGAAGTGGTTTAACAAACACTTTTAGTGTCACAGCCACGATTTAGCCTTTATTTTTTATTGAACCGAATCAAATCGATTTGAAATATATCATATCGAATCGAAAGTGCAGTGTATCGAGATATGTATCATATCGGCAACTTCTTAATGATACCAGCCCTATTATTACTTGAATATGCTGTATTTAAAATGGAACCAAACGCTCAATCGACTTTTTTTTTTGCTTGCTAAGTGTATACAGTGCTTTAATAATATTCTGTACTGTTCCTAGTCCTTTTTTTGACAACTTTAGTGCAAACCAGGTACATTTACAGCTTCATGGTCAATAATGCCTAAGTCTAAGTTTGTGCTGCCTTCAGTGACTGCTGCAATTTCTAGTACTACATGACATCACTCAGAACTGCCCCTGATTACAGCCTGATGTCTCTGATTACACACAGTCTCTTCTTCAATCCACAAACACTGCACAGTTTAGCAGCTCTGTTTAGAATGCGGTTGTGGGCGGAGTTTAGTTGTTTAGTCTCAATTTAAAGCACAAGTTCTTCTTTTAAACAAAATGCTGGATTAAAAGTTAACCTACCTTCTGTTTACCAGAGAGTAAACAGTAAAGCAGCACGACCTGGAACTAGTCTGGCAGGTAAACGAGCCCAGAACTCCTCCCATGGGCCTAGGACACAACTGAGTCAGCTCTCCTTCTCTTATGCCAGTATAAAAAACGGCTTCTCATACCAGAACCTTCAGGCTGATAATGGCTTCTGGGAAAACCTCTTCTACCTTACTGTATTTAATCCTGATTTACTGTAAAACCCAGACATTTGGACGTCCCTGCTTCAGTGCTGGGAAGGTGACTTTTAAAATGTATTCCCCTACAGATTACAGATTACATACCCCAAAATGTAGTTTGTAACGGAATCCATTAAATTACTTAAAGTGAGTAACGTAATCTGAATACTTTGAATTACTTGCTTGGCTGTAGAGTAGCAAAGACGAGGAAATCTTCACATAAATCTGCCAGACTTTTCTTAACCCTGTTAAAAATATTATTGATAGAAGAGG